CGTGACCCCGGCCCCACTGCCCAGCACACATCCCCTGGCCACGTGTGCAGGGACCTGGGGAGGATGGCACAGGATACAAAACCCAAATTGCTTTTAAAAGGTGCATGAACACATATGGGAAAGATGATGTGATCTCTTGTAACCAACAAATACCATTTCCCATTAATTTCTCTCCAGGAGCCTGTGCCTTTTCTGTTTGTTTTTTGGGTCTTTTGTTGTTTGTTTGGGTTTTTTTTAAGCTGCACTAGGGATTTGCAGACAGCAGTGCTAAAACCTAAAAGGGCACATAAATACAGGTACCATTTGCTTGCTGGCTCTGTGCACCAGTTTGTGGCAGAAATACCAGAACAGATGATCAGAGGCTTTTTTTTTCTTTTCTGTTCAGCAAAGCTCCTGACCTGTGCACTGGGGGGTGAAATGATTCACTCAGGGTTTTTTTCCAAAGTCTTGGGGGCTCAGCAGTCGTTTTCAAAGTATATTTTAGAAGGTGAGTCATCTTACATGCCTGCCTTTGTTTCTCTGGGTTTCATCACAATAATTATATCTTTTTTTTTTCCCCTGTTGATTACCAAAAACTTTACAGGAGTCTTTCTTTCAAACTCCCACCTGCCTCTGAAAAACAGCATCGTGAAGTCATGTAAGTGACAAACTGGAGAAGGAACTCCTGCCCGGGTCAGAGGTGGCCGCTGGTGTCGTGCTGCGAGGTGCTACGGATGATACAGACACTGAGCTAACCCATCAAATGACAGATCGCTGAGCAGCGGCTGCTCCCCAGCTCTCCATGCAGCGGGAGATGGCATATGTTCCCTGCCCAGGCAGCTACGGCTCCTGGGTACGATGCCAGAGTTTCAGCACGGAAAGGCTAATGAAAGCCTGGCACAATATTGCTGTTACACATGGATTGCACATCGCTACAACTCTCCTGATTTACACCAGTTCCATGCAGCTGACCTGGGCAGTTACTCCCCATTCACAGTGGTGCCGTATGAGATCACGAAACGCCCCATACAAGCAAATTTTCAGATTTCCATTATCTGACACACATTATCTCCACTGTGTCTTAAACTAAAATATTCATTGCTGGGTTTTCCCACCCGGTGCAATTGCCCTGGGTCCGGGAAGGGAGGATATTCCTCTGATAACCCTGTCTCCGGACAGAGCCCTGGGGCCGCCCTTCATCTGCGACAGGGAAATGCCCACCGAGGCAGGCAGCGGCGACGGGAACGGCTGCGGAGCCCTGCACGGTGGCTGGCCTCCCTCGCACGGCTGCTGCCTACAGATGCTCAGAGAAAGAAAGAAACCCGCAGACAAAGCAGACCTGCCTCTGAGCTGGGCACGTCTGAATCTCAGAAACCAGCCTGATGAATATGAGCTCGGATAGAGAGCGCTGCGCACAAACTGCACTCTTGTCAGAGGAAAGAGCAGATTTCAAAGAAACACCGGGTTTGATGCATACTAATTCGGACTATTGTGGAGGATCACCCAGCCTAGTATCTGCCTTCCAGTAGAGATCAATATCTGAACTTCAAGGGGAAAATAAGATGCTTTTTGTTATGTACTTAGTTTGTGGCTTTGAGAGAAAATACCTCCTTAGCCCCAGATACAGTGGGAGGTTTTATTGCCTGTATTACACTTCTCCTAGCCACAAATGCTGGCTTTCTTTTCACACCTGGAGCATCAGTAGCATGCACACCATTTTCCACATCTCTCTCCTCCAGAATTGATGACCTAAATCAGGCAAAACCCAAAAAGCTCTATAGGAGCGTGAAAAAATGGAGTGCAAGGAGGAAGAAAATGCTAAAGATGGTCAAAATGGTACCCAGGCATTTCAGCCCTATTTTGTCATCTGGGGCTGCATCAAGTGAATCTCTTTCTCTGGAGATGCTTAGAGCAATTACATTTGTTCTATTTATTCTCCCGCAAAGGCTTGGAGATGAGTCAACAGAAAAATCTTTTAGGATGAAAAAAATGAAAAATGAAATAGGCAATATCCCTGGACAATTTGTTCTGCAATCAGAACAGCATTCTCTTTCCATATGGTTCTCAATCTCTTAATTTAAAAAAGAAAAAAAAAAAAAGAAAAAAACAATACGGTAACAGTCACATCTGTAAATACACCCCCTTTCATTCTTGCTTGCAGGCTCCAGTAGCTATTTCAAGACAATACAGAGATGCTTGTTTTCTAGAGTTTATTTCTGGTGAGAAAATTCCCTCAGCTCTTGTCAGAAGTTCCCAAGTGAGAGCAGAAACTCTCTGAAAGCCTTGAACCAGCTCAGTCATGCACAGCAGATGTATTAAAAGGAAAGAATAGCTCCACACACCTCTTTGAAAGACTTCTTCACCTCCACTAATGGATGCCAGTGCGCGATGGGCTTGCGTGGGTAAGCCAGCATCTCGTTCCAGTGGTCTCTGCCCAGTCCCTCAGCATTGACCCCCACACGGCAAATCCCGATAATCTCGTTGTGACCCACTCTGGAGAACAAGAGAAAAGCAACACGGTCACCTCTCGCTCAGACTGCCCCTATGCTGTCTAACATCAGAGACTTCTGCCCCCATGCCACCGAGTGCCGCGAGGCACAGCGCTGCTGAACACGGGCTGTCGCGTCTGCACGACGACAACCAGACCTCGTCTGCGACCAGCACAGCGAGGCACTGCCATCGCCAGAAATAATTTTAACAACTCTAGAATTATTTGAATTGTAGACCAGTCCAGATACAGAGTCTGGCAGGATGTGTGCTGTGCTGTGGTGGAGCGCAGCAAGAACAAGTCCAAGTCCAGTAACGGGTGATTCATACACCAGTTGCTGCTCGGAGTGAGACCATTTGCTTTCTAAAACGGGATGATGGCTTGCAGGACAAGCAACCAGTGACAGCAACACAGATCTCACTCGAAAGTGCCGTAAAGCAAAGGACCAGCCTTACCACACTTGCTATTCTAGCAGGTAATTTTCCATAACCGTAAATATCAATGACACTTTAACAATAAATCACTGGAGACAGGCTGATGCCCCAGTGCTGTGCAGTCAAGGCCATGATCTATGACAAATGGCTATCGAGCAGGAAACCCGCACCCCACGGGATGTTTCCCCTCTGGCTCTCCAGAGCCTCCCGCCTACCGGTCATAATCCATGACGGAGATAAGCAGACTGACTTGATCCATGTTCTCTGGGGGAATGTCAAAGATTATTGCTTCATTGTAAGTGGGATTAAGAGTGTTTTTCTTTATGGTGGTTTTTTTCTTTTTCAATCTTCGCCCATCACAGAGCAAAGACACTTTGACGTACGGATCTGGAGAGGAAGAGACAGGAGAAGTTCATGGAGGTTTACGTGTTAGCACCACAACAGAGAAACAGCGTTATCAGTGTCCTCAAATGTACTTTGAGAAGAAGAGGTGTCTGTGTTCCCACCGAGCACACCGTTTCCCGTACTGGTGTGAGTGCTGACATGATGTTCAGACACTGGAGACCCACCACTGCAGTTTCCATCAGGTTTTTGCAGGGTTTGCAAGTGCAAGGTGGCCCCATCTCAGGAGCCAATATTCATCAGGGGATGATAACGGGCACCGGGCACTCGGGCATTCTCGCCTGCATTAACTGTGTGGCCACAGACAGCAAACCCAGGGCTTTCTCTGAAGAAAAACCAAAACTTTTTCAAAATTTGCCTAACAGAACAAAATGTAATGCAGCATTTTGATGATCCAAACAGGCAGACGGGGTTACTTTACAGGGATCCTTTCCTGCATTGCTGACAGAACTATCCAGCTGCTAACGCTACGTAGCGGAGTCACAGTGAGCAGCGGAATTTTAAAACCCAATTTCCCAATGTCAGAGAGCAGCACAAAGAAAAGGTTTTAGGGCTTTGCACTGGCTGCTGATGGCAGAATGCGCTCTAGTTACAAACAGCTCCTGTTCGCTGTAACGGCGGCTCAGGCGATTTCAATGCATTTTCAAGTAACCGTAAATGTGCAATGTATTATTACAGAAATGCTGAGCTGGCTTCATGCGAAGTCCCAATTCTCAGACATTTCATCTGGCATCAAGTTCCAACTGAGTAGAAATGTTTTCTGCAAAGACCTTTCACTGTATTGTTACTGCTTTCTAGACAAGTCATCAATGAAATTCAAATACTGGGATGCTGAGCTCTGGAAAAGAAACTGCTTGTTGTGTTGAAATCCAGAATTCACGCATGCTGAATTCGCAAGCCAGCTGTTTGGGACTGGGAATGCGTGGTCTTCAGGTGGCTTTGATCCTAACATCTGAGTGCTGGCCACTGTCCAGAGGAATGCACGGGATCCTTTCCTACCCTTGGGGTGAAATGATCGATCCTGGCTGCAGGGGGTTGTCTGATGGAAAGCTCCCTACTCCCATGGAACTGCTGGGGTCAGTGTCTGCAGCAGGTCTGAGCACCTACCTGAGTACCCGGTGATGTCCATAGCTTTGAGATTCCTGCACTTAATGACTGTTAAGGTGAGGCGACCTGCAGTTGGCAAATAACAAAGGGAAAACATGATCTCCCCCAGGTCCACGCTTTCCTGTAATAAAACAGAGAAGACATCATACTGGAAACATGCAAACACCAGCTGGGCTGCCTCCCCGCTCCACCGTGATGCCCCGTGCAGGGCTCGTGCAGCACGTGCACCAAAACAGGCTTTTCTCTCTTCTGTCAGGGTCAACTGAACAATGCTTTACTCTATGGCAGTGCTGCAGAATTTGTCTTTCAGTGTATCCCGACGTTATTTGGCTAAAAACAAATATAGGGAACAGGAAAAAAACGTGTGCCCAGATGTTACAGCTTCAGATCATAGTTAAGGACAATCTTCCACCGCCCCAGTACGTGCTTCCTGCTGCAACATGACAGCGAACGCACTCCTCAGTTTCTGCTCCATTGCTACGCAGAAGTGAAGCACTATCTAACACCAAATGAAGGCCATTAAGGAAATTATATTAGTATCAAGTTCTGCCTGAGTGCACAGTATATATCTCCCTGTGCCAAGTATGTGACACTAACAGCTATTTCCTCAAATGGAGAAACACCAAACCCGGCAGGATCACAGCAAGGTGGGACCTCAGCAGGCAGTGGTGCCGCGTCCTCTGGCTGCACGCCGCAGCCGTGCAAGGGGGGACCTGCTGCCACCGGCCCAGCACTGGAGGTTTACGGGCTTTGCTGGTGCTCTGCAGAGAATGCAGACGTTTCGGAGTAATGCCGTGATTTCCTCTGAAGTTGAGCGTGAATTACTGGGCAGGTCACAGAGCCACAGCTTTAGAACAGAGCAGAGCCACCAAGGCTCCACTTAGTGGCAATTGAGCTTTTCAGCTGTGACAAGCTTACTGCCATCTGGACCAGCAACCCCTCTGAGATGCCTTCAAAGAGGTAGGGAACGCAGTATGGGGCGTGCATATGTACGTACACAAACAGCGAATTAACCAGCAGATGGCACTCAGAAGCGTTCGGCAGTTTCTGGATTACATGGAGGCAAATACAATTAATTCTTTTAGTGCCTCATAAAACAACTTTTACACATTGCTCTTAGCACCTCTTGTGCATGCAGCCTTATCCACTACACCTTCTAAAAGCCCATCCCATCATTGCCTTGCTCGTGGGAATTCAGGAAAAAAATTAAACAAACAAAAAGTATTATTTGAACCAGAAAGTATTATCGTCTGAAGGCAGCAGAAAGATTTCCAAATACCCTCCAAAAATGGATTTAAAAAAATAATAATATTTTGTACATACAGATCCCACATCTGTAGAACAAACAACTTGTTTATTTTTGGAAACAGCATGTCTGATTCATTTCAGTGAGATATAATGATCTGCTGAAAAGAAATTGTAGCTGCTAGTAGTAGAGTGATAGAACTAAAAGGACAACGAAATGCATTAGGCACTTAGAGCTTAGCTAAGTGTTAGGATCTCGTTGATGGATGAGATTTTTGCCAAATTATTTCCTTCTCATTCTCTGATAAGGCAAAGATTAGATATCTATTCCCCTTAGACATGCAGAATACTAATGAATGCTATACAGAAGTCCTGATTCTTGACAAGACTTCACTAGTAAATAAATTGAAAATCTTCTTAGGCCTGGAGTGTACAAAAGAAACAGTGGCAGCCAAATGTTTTCTGGACAGAGCAGTGTATGATGGACTTGTGAGCATACAAATAAACGTTGTCTCAGAAGGTGCTATTTGCTGGTAAATACGAGTTTAACACTCTTGCCCACTCAGAGTCCCCACTCTGATCTCTCGCTCGCCTCAATGAACCCACGCCATCCAGAACAGCACTCCTATCAGCGCGACAGAGCCATCTCGAGTCACAGCCTCATGGTCAGTGACCGGTAATGAAACAGGTGGAAACGTTTACCACTGCCTTCAGCAGCTCTTCCTCTGTCTACCGGGAGCTGAATTTCTCGCCTCACACAATATTACCAAAGGCATTAAGGATCCAGGATCACTGTACATGTACCGTCACTGAAGTGTCTCCAGCGCCAGTCCGACACTGCATCTGCCAGCCTCAGCTACAGACTTTACTGACAATAGAGAAGAGTTCAAAATAAATATTCTGAAATGATGAATAGAAATGGTGGTTCTGCGGCGCTGGATGCTCTGCCCGCTGTGCAGTGCAGCAGAGCTGGCACCCAGACGACTCTCTGGGCTGGGTCTATTCTTTCACATGTTCTTTACCCTCTGCTGGTTGGGGAGGGACGAGAGCAGGCAGCCTTGGACACAGATGTCAGAAGAGAGCCCCGTGAGATCGTGAGAGCACCCTCTGGGCATCATCTGTTCTTCTGTTCCTCTCCTTGCACTGAGAGGACCTGTTCAGGTTATAAAACTAACATAAATTATTCTTTGACCTCATTGGATTAGGTAAAGAGATTTTTCTTTGCAGCACTAGTGCAAGACAGTAAAAAGTGTCCTGTGGGTACATTATTTTCTTGCAGATATAGACATTGGGACATTTCCAAAATTCACATCAGTACCTCTTAGGAAATAATGGAAGCTCTGATCAATAACCTTTCCAGACTTGAAACCAAAAATGCTTCACTGATTCACAAGCTGTACAATCATTAATTAAATAGCTGAGTGCTAGCTATTTGAATAGCTTATATCATTGCTTAAGTGCGTTTCTATCTTCTTACCCACACGATTGATCTAACGTATTATTAGGCACCTGGAGCTTTCCTCGGGTATTACGAAAACTGTATTTACCCTTCCCATTTTTTATTAAACAGAAACGTCCTTGGGTGTGTTACAACTGGCTGAGACGTACCAATATTGGCCCATTCCCAAAGAATGGCACAGAGGGAATGAGGGGACAGAGCCAAACGCGGCACTCGACGTTTCTGTGGGAGCTCTGCAAGGCTGCTGTGCCATGTGTCTCGGGCGTGATGTTGGGTCTGCTCCTCTCACACCTTCTTCGCAGCCTTCTCCCTGCAGCTACGTGTTTTATGTGGTTTTCCTTTAGTGACACCCAGTGTCACCCCTTCCCAGTGCCACTCCTGCCCCTGGTCTTTTTCCTCCGAACTACAATAAGCCCCACACCAAGCTCTGGAAGAGCTGCCAGCAGCACGTCAGACAACACTCTCAGTGCAGGAGAGCCCGGCACCTCCGATGGGTGGGTGGTGGCCCTCCAGAGTATTTCTTACTGATATCACGTACGCATGGCAGACAACCAGAGCCTGAGACCCTTCACGTGCCGAAGCGATGCCCGGCAGGGAACACACTGAACCCCTCAGATGATTTATAGCAAACCTGGTATCAGTGAGACTCGCTGTGGGTGAGATACCAGCAAGTCACCAAGCAGAGGGATGAAATTCCAGTAAACCAGGATTCTGGTAAAGCTTCTGCGTGCAGCAGCTTGCCCCACCCCTGCGCGCGGTGGCTGTAGGTCCCCAGGGCTGGTGGTACCATCCGCAGGGAGGCAACAGACCCCCAGCCAGCAGGGTGAGGGACTCAGCCCTTCACGCAGCCCAGACAAAAAGAGCATCCCGAACCGTCCTGCCCGGAGCCACTCCCTGCGCACGCGGTACCCATCCTCCGCGTGCACCGGTACCATGCACCACGCCGCGGCAGCAGGCTGCAAACGGTCCCGGGACAGGGACGACCGCCCAGGGCAGATACTCACCGCGGTTGCGTACTGAATGTCCTTCCAGATGGAAGTCTCCCGGGAAAGGTCTGAGGCCTCAAACAGGTTTTCCAGGATAACTTCTCCTATCATGTCGTGCCGGGAGAACCTGTCGAAGTCAAAGACGCTCAGGTGGAGCTTCCTGCTCGCCAGCTCCTCGTGGGGCACGGGGAAGTGGAAGGACTCGTCGAAGGTGGGGTTCAGAGTCTTCCTGTGGACTCGTGTCTGGAACTTGCGCTTTCTGTCGGGGAGGAGGTAGATCTTCACGTAGGGATCCGAGCTGCCGCAGAAGTCTTTGGCTGGCAAGTCAAAAGCCCTGAGAATTCGGACGGTCAGTGTCTCATTCTCATAGTCGTACTTGAGAGTGAAGTTAATTTTCCCACAGGTCTTTGCTGCCTCTTTTTTGGGGTCCTCAGAGTCAACAGACTTTTGCTTATAGAGTTCGGGCTTAATGCGGCCGATGCTGGTCGGCGGCTCAGCCACAGCTGGCGGGTCCATGCCGTAGTCCATGCTGGACACGTGCATTTGCCGAGGAAGGTGCCTTTTGAAGGAGATGTGCCTGCAGGAGGAAGACATGACAGCTGTATGGTTTTCCAAGGACATTTCCCTCCTTTTTCTTCCCAGACTACTAACACCAGGCAAGCCGGGAGAGCACAAGAACCGGTACAATAGGTGCTCCTGACCATGGTACAGAAACCACGTATGGTATGGAAATGAACACGGAAGAGAACACCTCCAGCGGCCAAAGGAACCGATCCAGCCAATGTCCTGACTTTCAGAGTATTTGCAGCAAGCCGTTACACAAGTAACAGCCCACAGCTACATCTATGAGACCCAACACCTCCTTCACCGAGCCATAGACGACCCAGTGTGCAGGCTCTTCCCACCCTCAGTCCTTACAGCTCCAAGATACTGGCACTAAGTTTCCATCAGGCAAAAAAACTTTTAAAGTGAGAGAACCTCAACCAGCCCTGAAATTTAGGCTTTGCTCTGGGTATTGCTGCTTCCAGACTTCTCCAACAGACTCTCATCAGAAACTGATAGATAATTCTTGACAGGGAGGGATGCACAACCTCATCTGGAAGCTCTCTCTCACCCCGAGCTCCCTTTCAGCACGAGGGAAACTGTATGTAAGCAAAGCTTTATCTAAGCAAAGCATAAAAGCTTTCTGTGGACTCACAGCATTATTTCAGATTATCTGGTGTTTACAAGAGCAGTATACGGAGCTATTTAACCATACTGAGAACTTGTAGAGCCAGAGCATTAGCTTTTGGTGGTGCTTGGAGACCTCATGTCTCCTTGGCAGGTTCCTCAAAGGCATTTTGTCCTGGGCTTGGCTGGGCTGCGAGTCAGCGATCCCAGACTGCTGGGGCAGTTCCCCAGCGTCCCCGGGTCTGGCTGCCTGCCTGTGGCTCGTGCTGGGCTAAGTCGCTTGAGAAAGTGGGTTTGAAACCTTCCCACATACAACCAAGTCCCACCTTGTTTGTCCTAATTCAGGCAGGCTGAGCTTTTGTTTTCTCCTGCGTTGGAAAGGGGAAATAAAAGCGAACGAGTGTGTGCACGGCAGAGAGGCAACCAGCTGTCCAGCAAGCGGTGTGGTTAAATAAAACAGTGCGTGGGACAATCACAGGTGGCACCGTGTTGATCTGAACTCCATCTTCCTCTCAGTGCCTTATTAACTCTGCCATACTGCAGCCCATCCCTGAGCAACGTCTGTTTTCGCGTCGCACTCTCGCACATCCCCAGCACGGCCGGCACAGCAAGCAGAAGTGCTGGGGCACAGCCAGGACCCTGCGATCACCCTTTCCTGTCCTAGTTTCACAGCCTTCTGTGTCAGCGAAGAGGTACCGTATTTCTCAGTATCGGCACCAAGGTGTCCCGAGGTTCACGCACCCTTCTCCTGATTTACTCGGTGTGATGCTGACATCTCCATCCCTGGCTGGGGGAGAGACGCACACTGAGCACTGGCTCCAAGCTCAGCTGGTTCTGGGCTTGTGCAGCGAGTGGTACGTCAATTCTGCTTATCTAATTGTTTCTGCTAGGAGCCACAACAACCAGAGAGAGCAAAAAGGTCTAATTCTGTCTGACAGCATACCATCATTGATACTTCAGCCTGCCTCTCATGTTGCAAAAAAATTAAAGTGGCCAAAGCATACTGACGGCTTGACACAATGAGGTCAAGTCACAGTAACGGGGCTGGAATCCTTAATTTTTTTTAAAGGGCCCACAGTAAGCCAGTCTTAACGCATTAACTGGTTAATGACCAGTCTTCAGAAAGCAATCCAGCATGTAGGTGAGAGTGCTTTCTTTAGCCTCCCTGAAGGTATTTGAACCCCAGGCTCCGTTAAAGGCTTCTCCTGCCCTGACAGCTGCCCGCAGCACAGCATCCCCCATGGCACAGCACCCTTGCAGCACAGCATCCCCACAGCACAGCATCCCCCACGGCACAGCACCCCTGCAGCACAGCACCCCTGCGGCACAGCATCCCCACGGCACAGCCCCCCTGCGGCACAACATCCCCATGGTACAGCATCCCCACGGCCCAGCATCCCCACGGTGCAGCACCCCTGTGGCACAGCATCCCCCACGGCACAGCACCCCTGCAGCACAGCACCCCTGCGGCCCAGCATCCCCGCGGCACAGCCCCCCTGTGGCACAACATCCCCATGGTACAGCATCCCCATGGCCCAGCATCCCCACGGCACAGCACCCCTGCAGCACAGCACCCCTGCGGCCCAGCATCCCCGCGGCACAGCCCCCCTGTGGCACAACATCCCCATGGTACAGCATCCCCCACGACACAGCACCCTTGCGGCACAGCATCCCCACAGCACAACATCCCCGCAGCACAGCATCCCCACGGCGCAGCACCCCTGCAGAGCACCACGTCCTGCTCACCTGGTGGAAGACGCAGGCTCCGTCGTTTGCCTCTGGATCCGCGTGCGCCGCATGATGTGGTCCTTCATGGACATCTGGACCTCTGCAGGGATGTCTGGCGACGTGTGGCTGATCTTCACTGCTGCCTCCAGGAAACTTAAGGCACCCGCATCCTTGAGCTTGTCTGCCATGTTCTCCTTGGTGCAGTCTGCCTCGCTCTGCAAGACGGCCAGGTTAGAAGAAATGGCCTTGTTCCTCCAGGGAACCCAGCACAGCTTCCAAAAGAGAAACAGAAAAACTGCCACCAGGGCCAGTCCACACACAATAACTATCACCGCAAGGAGGCTGACGGAGAGCTCTACAGGCGGAGAGAAGGCAACAGCGGGCAGGGAGAGGGGAGGAACGGGAAAGGAGAAAAGAAAAGAAAGATGGTGAGAAAGCCATAAGTAAAGGAAAGAAATGGTCCAAACTGACTTATATCATGACTAACGCAGAGTTCTTAGCAGGTTCTGCAAGAGAGAGTCAAACCCGAGCGCGCATCCCTTGACAGATTCAGGACCACTTCCTGCCCCAGACACGGGTGTCTCCAGACAGCCAGAGCTATGAAGTTTTATACCGTGATGCTTAGATTACCTATAAAATATCATCCTTGGTTTGTTTCGTGGCATTGGCAAACTGCTGAGCATGAAACCGAGAAGAACTGCAGAACTGAATGATAGAAACAAGCTCCAGTGCTGTACCAGCAGCAGCTGCCTTTCTGCTTCCTACCACAGGTGTTCAGACACTATATTAAAAAAATCTATCTGCCATGAGCCTGGAAGCAGATTGTTGTTGTACTATCAACAACACTCACGTCTTGCCCAGATGTGCCCATAAAGAATAAAAAGCAAATACCAATAAAAAAAGAAATCACAAGCTGCTGATGTGGTGAAACCAAACATAGAAGGAGGCTGCACAGAAAGTACAGCACATTCCTGTGCAGCCTGAAGAGCACAGAAGATGTGTAAGTTCTCTGAGTCACTTTTACCTCAGACACTATGTATTTCAGCATTTTAATTCTTTTCTGGAGAGGAAAGAGCTTCCATACCTATGGCTGAAGGATCAGGAAAAAAGGAAGCTATACATAGATATGCATATATAT